TAAGAGCACTGATTTTGGAAATAAATTTTAACCATTTTGGCAAGTTGCTGAACCTTGTAACATTGCATAATGAAATATAAAGACTAACTGAATATGTCTGCCACAGATAGACCACTTGTCTATCTGTAGGTCTATTGATTTCGTCTTGAGCTATTCCTAAAGAGTTGAGCTATTGAAAACTTCCTTTCAAGGTGATTTATTTCAACACTCAGAGCCAGCCGAGAGAACATTTTTTTCTTATATTCATGATCAACAGCCAAGATACATTTGAAAGTTGCTAATATATCCCTGTGACTATTTTTTTTTTATTTGTTTTCCAGTGTTGATTGATTTTTCCCTGATTAGTGTAATTTTCTTGTTCCTTAACTCAATATCTTGCAAACTGTTGATAGCTTTGATGAAATTTTGTAGCAAAGCTTGTTCAAATTTTGAAAACTATAAAAATATTCAGCTATTTTTATGGTTATAAACACTTAGTCCAATTAGAGGTACTTAGATTACATGCAACATTTTCAGAAGCTTATACCTTTTTTGTTTTCTACTTGGAACTTTTCAATTTATTTAAAACATTGGACATTGTTATAAGTTGTTATTAGGTATTCTTTGTTATTGTTTATATATTTTGACATAACCGCACATAACCAAAATATTGACCAAAGTCCTTAACCACTTTTTATCACCTTAATCCAAAAATTTTATTCGTACGGTTTTGTCAACTGGAATAAATTTTCATTATTATGTTTAATTTTTCATGTCTTTTATCATAAATTGTTATTTTTAAATAAATAAAGATGTTTTTAACTATAATAGGTAGGTGATAGAGGCCATGTGCCTGAACGAAAAGAAGACGTAGATGGCGTATCTGCATAGCATTAAAAATTGACTACTTCATTAAATCGTCACTAGATGCCGCTCGAGATTGCATCCAACACTTTTTACTGTTGCATTATCCTACTATATTATCTTCATACAATGGTGGTATAATTGAGTTTTTTGCATCAAACAATAGTTTTTGGTTAAAAATTGTGCATTTTTGTATTATAGTTATAAACACTAGACATGTTTGCCTGATTCTCCTAAATTAAAAGGTAAAAGAAATCGTTCTATCCATGAAAACGAAAAATTAAAATATAAAGTCAGGTTAGGACAAAAGAAAATTAATAGCCTGAAAACTCAACTTAGAGGCATGAAGAATAATTTAATGAAAGCTAATTTGGCAGCAAGATTACAAACATTTTAATATCCCATGTCACAGTTCTCAAGATCTTTCGGTAATATACAAATACGCCACAATAAGACAAGCGTTTGGTTACCTTCAGAGAAAAAAACTGCATTGTCCTTATTTTATAAAGAACCTAGTACCTATAAATTTCTTCGCAGAAAAGGCATAATTCTCCCTGGTGTATCGACCATTAAAAGCTGGATTAGCAACTTTATTTATAATCCAGGATTTAACAATAAAACTTTTAAAAATCTTCAACTAAACACAGAATCTATGTCTTCATCACAGAAAAAATGCGTACTCATGTTTGATGAGATGCCCATAATAAAAATATTGAATATAATTCTAAATTAGATTGAAGGATTTAAAGATCTGGGACGAAATCAAAGAAAAGCAGTAGCTGCAACTCAAAGTATTAATGACCAGAGGAGTATTCTCCAAATGGAAAATACCTATTGGATATTTCTTATCTGAAAATGGAGCAAATTATATTTCTCTAAAATCTATTGTTATTAAGGCTGTAACAATGTTAATTAATATTAATTTAGAACCAGTTGGTATTGTCTGTGATCTCTCAACGACCAATCAAAAAGTAATTAAATTGCTCGGGGCAAACAAAAATCGTCCATATTTTTTTATTAACGAGAAAAAAATATTTACTTTTTACGATGTTCCTCATCTTTTTAAATGTATCAGAAATAATTTTATTGATAATAATTTCTTATATAATGGAAAATTTATTAGTTTTTCAGAATTGAAAAAAGTGTATGAAATTGATAACCGCAGTAAAACTGGAAAAGCTCTTTTAAAAGTTACAAAAAGACACTTACACCCAAATGCCTTTCAAAAAATGAGTGTTAAATTAGCCACACAATTATTAAGTCACAGCGTTGCAGCTGCTATTAAAACATCTACGAGAACAGGGCAGTTAAATTCTAGCACTGTCGAAAATACTGTGCGTTCTTTGTAGAGACTATGAATAATCTTTTCGATGCCTTAAATAGTACACGTGTCCGAGCATCAAATCCCCTACAAGAGAGTATATTGTGATAAGAATCAAGAGGTTGTCACAGCTCTAAATTCAGGTTATAATTTAATATCAAATCTGTACAAACAAAATTCCAAGGGAAAATTAACCCGACCTAACAGTTTTGATGGATTTTTAATAACAATAAATGCAGTTAAGCAATTTTAGACAGAAGTAAAACAAGCTAGATACAGGTATATTTTTACTGGTCGCCTTATTCAAGACCCACTAGAAAATCAGTTTTAGGTACACAGACAAAAAGGCGGTTACGATAGAAATCCAACAGCGCAGAGCTTCAAATCATCTTTTAAACTAAATATTGTTAATAATTTTATGCAGCCCCCAGTTTCCGCAAATACTGGTTCAAAACCAGACAATGATGAAAATATTTTGGAGAGTTGTTCTACGTCAAACGATATTTTGCAAAATATGAATGTAGAAGAGGATGAAGAAGAGGAAGAAGAAGAAGAATATAAAGAGAACTATGATGATGAAGAGGAAACAAACGTGGAAACTTCTTTAAAATCTAAATTAGTTTCCTCACTTTCCGACAATTCACTGTCTTTGGAGAGTTGTTCTACCGTTTATTTTTCTGGGTACTTGATAAAAAAAGTTTTAGACAAATTTAAATGCCAATTTTGTGAAATTTGGTTAGAAGGTTCTGAAGATATTACCCAGAACGATGAACTTCTTATTTTTTATAAAAACTATAATTTAGATCAATTAAATGAGTTGAAAACTCCCACTAAAGTAATGAAAAAATTTACAAATATATGTTTATATCTACTTTCAGTTAATATTGACCAATTTGCTTATCAGAAAGTGTTGAGCAATAAACGTGAAATTATTAAAAAAAAGTTAATGTTTCTTTTGCCGGAATGGTTCAAGTGTAACCAAAATGGTGAAAAATACATATTGTATATCCTAAATTTATAAATTAAAGTACAAATTTATAAATACTGTAAAAATTTATGACGAAATTGGAAAAACATAAGCAACGCTAAAAAACCCAATATAAAACTGTCTCTACTTCAGAATCAATAAATAAGTTAATTTTATCTTTCAAATAACTATTTTTATATCGCACCCAAATAAAAATTCTCTTAAAACTGACAACTGATATTCCATTTCCTGCTATCAGAAACTTTAATATTATTATTATTATGAATTACAAATTCCAAGTAAACGATAGAGGGGTCTAAAGATCTATAAGTTAATTTTACTATAATATAACCAAAACTAACTTCTAAAACATATAAAAAGTTTTGACAAATACGTCATTAACAATAAAAGCTCATATAAATTGTTTCATTTCAATCGTTCTATTTATTAAAACATTTTGGCTTGTGCTGGTTTTAAATGTTTCAACTTTAATAGTAAACCCACTTTTTAATAAACATTTTAAAAACACAAATGGTTCTCAAAATTCAGTTCTCTGTGGTATCGCTAAATTTATCTGATAACCGTTATTGCTTTGTTATTTTTCTTGTTTTTTTTTTGTCGTTTGATGATAGATGTTATTGCCTCTTTGTACTTACTATAATAATTAGGGTATTAAATTATTTTTATTTATGGATACTGTAGTGAGTAATTTATGCGTTTTTATCTTAAAAATCGTGTAAATAAAATACATTGCAAAATATATCGGTAGACTGTTATTTTGATTTAACATTTTCACTACCCCTCGTAACAAGTCATAGAAACTTATTCTCTTACTCCGTATCCTTTCCAACATGGCAACTAAAAGAATATTTTGGGTAGCCTTTATTGTATAAAGATAAATTTCTACTTTTAAACAGATCAATTACTTAACTGTTTCGGCTTCTCTCCACCAGTAGGGCACCATCTCCTTATGCCTGGAGGGTGCGAGAGGTAGTCAAACAGAATTTATACAGGCGCTGACTAACTATCTCTACTCTTTAAACAATGCTATTACTTACTAAAATATCCGGCCTGGGAGTTTTTATTGGTACACCCTGTATACTAACACTTTTTACTACTTTTGTACAATCGTTCACCATTTTAACTACTAGTGAACCTTTGCAATATAGGTACCTTATTATACTCTTTCATGCAATCGTTCACTATTTGAGATATTCCTTATAAACCCTTTATACCTACTTTTGTCCAATTTTTCGCTTATGTTATCACACATGTGTAATTGTGTTACTTTGTGATGTACAACCTAAATTATTAATACCTACCTCTATATACTTGTATAATATTGGTACTTGATTTCAAAAGCCTTTTAATAATAAATTTATACAATTTTTTATTTTGTTTTATTTAAATTTTACTAAGTATATCCTCAATATGCTATTTTACATATAGTGTATCCAAGGATGGACAAAACTATAAGTACTTGTAAAAATATTTATTTTAAATTTTTTAAAAAAGTAATTTTTCATAATTTCTCAACGTTAATCATATTTATTTAACAAGCAAAAGAAATTTTGAAAAGTACTTTTATTAAATTAAAAATAAATATTTTTACAAGTATTGTACTGTGATGTTTTTCGAACTTCACTTTGTAACCTCTATTAGATGTGCTATAAAAGTCTTGCTGTTGCGGACATTTGACGGTTGCAGGGTTATTAGGGTTACAATAAAAGCCTAAAATTGCAGCTTACGTAGATAGGATGTTTTTGTGCTAGCTGGGACACGTTTTGGACAAATAGTCGGGGGCGGCTCATGTCCTAGTATACTTTTAAAAGGCACTTAGGTTATATATAAATATTAATCAAAACTTACCAAGGCCCTTTGTTGTTGTTGTGGTTGTAGTAACTAGTCAATGCAGTCTGTAGGTACGGAGCAAAACCACACTTTTTTATCCTGACCTAAATACTTAATAACTATGGGTACTATTCTATATACACTATACATATTTATTTCTTATAAGTAAAATCTATTGTCCTGTTTTTCACCATCACAAAATGTTCTACCACTTTTTCATCAAAATTGTCGATGCTATGTACAAAATTTTTATTAATTGACATCATTGCCAATGCATTCAGCCGCTCTTCATTCATTGTATTTCTTAAAAATGTCTTGATCCTTTTAAGGGTTGAAAAACAACGCTCAGGTTCAGCAGTAGACATGGGTGTAGTTATAACTATTTTTAATAATTTAATTGCTTCGCTGTAAGTTTCATCCAAGTTGTTATTGGTCATAAATGAAAGTAAATTTAAAGCACCGACTATGTTTCTAAAATCCCCTCTCATGTATATTACTTCTAGTTCGATTTTTAGTTTTTCTTTACTTAACATTGTATAAAAACCAACAACTGAATTTAACAGGACTTTCGGAAACTTTTTTGAATACTTTAAAAAGTTTTCAGGGCTCAATAAAGATGCAGCTTCTAAATGACCCCTGTAAGAAAATCTTTCTTTCGACTGAAAAATTATAATGTCGCAAATATCTTTTGCAATAACAGCATTTCTACACTCTGGATTAATTTTCTTGCGTTTATACTCAATTGCACCATGTTCATCTTCAACAGTTTTCTGTATTTCATCCGTAGTCTCCCTTATTAATAAAATTGCTTTCTTAAAATTTTCTATATCTATCAGAAGTTGCACACTATCATTATTTCCGCTTTGAAACTGATTAAACAAAGTATCTACGTGTGGAAGAATTTTGTGAAATAATGTTAACCAAAACACAAAGTTGGGATCTTCAAGGGATGTTTTTAGTCCGCTAGCCTCTTTGCAAGTAATAGTTTTTTCACATTTTTCTTCTAATTCCCTAAAACACTCTATCAATTTCTCACGATTTTCAAAAACCGAATTTACAGTACGTATATTATAGTTCCAACAGGTTGGTGTAACCTTTGGCATTTTTATTCTTACTATTTCTTCTAAAATATCGCATTTATGGGTTGAAGTGGAAAAAAAACTTGGAATTTCAGAGAGAGTTGCAAAAAAAATTTTGACTTTAGTATTTTGGCTTGTAGCTTTTTGCATAATTAAATTTAATTGATGTGCATAGCAGTGCACGAAATGAGCATTTTTATAGGTCTCTTTGATTTTTGATTGAACCCCTCCAGTTTTGTTACTCATGACATTTGCACCATCGTAAGCCTGTGCAATTAACTTATCAGGTGTATTTTTTAATAATGATTCTAGTTCAGTTTTTATGCAGTTCGTTAAACCGGTAGCAGTCTTATCCAAAATTTTTAAAAAGCACCAAAATCGTTCCACTATACTGCCTTCATGCAAATATCTAAATACCATTACCATTTGACAATGATTCGAAATATCACTGGTTTCGTCACACTGTACTGACAGAAAATCTGCTTTGTTAATTTGCTCTCGAATTTCATTGCGACATACTTCTAACATACTGTCTAATATTTCATTTTGTATTGTTTTCGAGGTACCTTTAAACACAGTTGCATTTTTTAAATGTTCTTTTAATATAGAATCAAGTTCAGATGTAAAGTCAATTAATTCTCCAAAAACACCACGATTTTCAGAGCCATCATTTTCATCATACCCTCTTAAGACTAATTCCAATTTTCCGCAAAATTTAATACAATTTATAATTCGTTTCAAAACATACCTGTTTTTGTCTACTTGCTCATTATGCTTTATTATATTTTGCCGGTAAGTTGAATTCAACTGGGCAGCAATATTAGCAGTACCTAAAAAAGCTAGTTCTGTAGAAAAATTTATGTGCTTAGCAGATAGTTCGTGCTTCTTAATTTTCTCGTTTAGGTGCTTTAAATCTTTAAATCCTACTCTTGACCACACATTATCAGTTCCATCGGAGTAAAATAATAAACAAGGAAAACAAAACAATGCATTTAGAGTATCACACCCACATATCCACTTGTTTTTATTGTACACTTGCCTTGAAAATCGTCTTGTAAATGAAGATTTTGAACTTTTATCTGTCTGAGTAAGTTCTAAATCGGGAGTAGGCCTTCCTGAAGATTTAATATGACATTTTTCAGCCAGTGAAAGTCTGGAAAAATTAGTTTTTAAAATATATTGTACACTATTCATCATATTATAAAAATAACTGTTTGAAACAGGGCCAGGGTGTCCTAACTTTCTCTTCTTAGAAAGATGTATGGTGTTATTTTTCAATAGTGTTAGTGGTGGCATCTCTGGGCTGTAGGGCTGATCCAAATGGCTTGACTGATTATTATCTTCATCTTTCAAAGTGGGTAAATCACAATGAGTAGTCAAAGACACAAGTTCACCCTCAGAGATATCACTGACGCCCATGTACAAATATGTATCTTTAATCTCACGAACATTACTTTCTTCTGTATTTGTATGGACATTTTGCAAGAATACGCATTCGCTCACAGAATCATTGTCAATTTTTATCAGCAAATCCGAATGTTGTTCAATTTTAGACTCTTCATATTCGATTTCTTGTTTTATTTCATCTACATGAGGATCGAAGAATTCTCGTTTCACGTCCATTGTTTTTATAACGTTTGCAAATGCAAACACGTTAACAGTTTCCCAAAAATCAAAAACCTTTATTATTGTTGTTATCTCAAATAAACAAAATAAAAGGTTATGTTATTTGTTAGCCGTTAACCTAAAAACTATAAAACCAAGGATACTTGACTATATAGGATTGTTCAATGCATTGTATATCATCTGAAGTATTCGGAAAAATGACGTAGTTCCCGGACCATCGAATGGGCGAATTTAATAATGAACACGATTAAAAACTATTAAATTCCCAATGAAATACCTACATATATAAAAAAAATACAAGTATCACAAATTGTAAACAATAATTTTTTATTGATCCTTTATGTACAGGACAAGTCAACATATTTGAATACAAAAATAAATATACGAACAAAACTTAAACATAATTGACAATTTATATGGACTATCTTCAATATCATTGCAACATTACTATTTTAGTGCAGTGTAGGGGTATAGAGAAAGTAAAAGTTCAAAAGTCTTTTGGTAGGTAGAGAGGGGGTAAACGTCAAACACGTCGGGCGGCTCCGAGAATTTCGCAGTAATGTTTACCTGCCAGTAGTGCCAGTGTCGTTTCGTAGAATAAGTAATTTTAAATTGTTATCGGCGGAACCGGACAATCGCATGTATTTATGGATTATAAATAATTATTAATGCATTATAATATTCAAATCATAATTTTACAAAATTTCAACAGCTATTCACAATGTATTAAACTATTTACCCGAAATTGTTATTAACATCTATAAAATAATTTTGTACGCCAATGTATCGCGTCCACTTCGGCCCAGTATAAGTAATAATACAGTAGCGACAGTTCATTGTTTATGAGGTTTCCATATTTTTCTGCGCATGTCCGTAAATAAGCGGCAAATACGTCAAACTGGCATATGTGAATTGTCAATGGATTAATGATGGTTGATTGTTTTGATTATCTGGTTGGTTGTAATGTACATTTTAATAAATTTTTATTATATTTAGACTTAATTTTCATCTTTCATTTATTGTGTGATATTTTATTCAAACAGACAAAGGGTCAAGATATTTTAAAGTTACTTATTTCAGTGTAGAAATAAGCGACAAAAACGTCAACGATCAATAAAAATCTGACCACCCCGACATCAAAGGAGCCGACTCAAGCTGTCGCTACTGTATTATTAATTATACTGGGACTTCGGTGAGATCCGCTGCCAACCTGTCAATTTATGTGTATAAAGTGGGAGAAATGGCAAAAGCATTTCAAACTTTTACTTCTGTTTTAAACCCACATACTTTGATTTTCTTTTACTATTCGCGATTCAAATTAATTTTCGCGCGCCTGTCATTTGTCACGTATAAGTAGGATGTTTGTTTATTTACGTGTTGTGGGATTTTGTATTTGTGATTTTTTAACTGTTTTTAGATAATATTCTTATTATAATAGTGTTTTTGAGTTTCATTTAGTGTTAATTTAAGTTTAGTTTTCGTGCTTTCGTTATAAATGTAATTTTTCATGTGTAGTACGAACTAATTTGTTGGAAATATTGACCTATTGGTTGCTACAAGAACATCTAGAAATATGTATTTACTAGACCCAGGACATGTTTTATTATGTGGTTTAAAGGACATATCAGGTACCAAACGTTTATTATTGATGAACTTCTTTAAAAATCTTACTATCCTTATTCTTATATCATGAAGTGAATTGTGTAGTACTTTGTATACATGTAAATGGTAATAAAACCGTCACAACTCATATTGGAGTTTGATTCTAAACAACGTTTTGCAAAATTTCAATATTGTTAATTTGTAGATACCCATTTATCGTAAGAAACAGAATTTTATGACTTGCACTTGAAAAATAATGAATACTCCAGTTTTGATTTTGACAATAACACCATACAAATTGCAATTTGCTGGAGGCTTTTTCGCAGATTTCATTTTTAATTTAAATACTATCACATACTATAAGAAATAAACAAATTTAAAGCTAAAAAGTAACAAAAAACTCTAATTGTAATTGATACAAATTAAAATGTAAACAATGAACACGAACGCCAATATTGCCAAATGATGAACTGATTTTGTCTCTGACTGATTTTAAAACTAAAATTAATAAATGAACTGATATTTAAAAAAAAAAAATCAATATAATAAATCGATTTTATAAAAAAATCCTTAAATAAATAGTATGATTACATATTACTAGACACAAATTTTGATTCTTAAATAAAAGGTCTTATCCATTTCTTCAAAAACTAAAATCCGACGACGTAACGAAATTTTGCTGCTTCTGGCAACACTGAACGTCATCCTACTTATAGGGACCTTTTACTAATTTCCGCCAGAGGGCGTATCACTTAGCTTGAATCGCGAATACGGAGAATGGTCGCACTGCGCAGCTTTCTGAGTGCCTTTTAAAAGGAGATAGAAAACTCCGCCATTTTGATCCCTTATTACATGTTGCCTACATCTTGGCGCAATATTTTTAATAGGTGCGTTTTAATCATCCGCTTCTGCTTCGGAATTGTCGGTTTTCTTGTTTTAATCTGACAGGTTAAAACGACTAAACCGACAATTCCGGAAGTAGAAGCGGATTATTAAAACGCACCTGCTATTTTGTTTGCTGCTGTCAGTGTCAGTGAATATTATTTTTGGAGTCACAGTTTATTGCTAAAGAATCAGTTAGCTCACTCGGACCAGTTGAAAGTTCCAAAATAACATCCACTCCAGGGATACAAATTCAGGATACGAAGAAGACTGCTGTTTTATTATAGGCGGTTGTCATATATTGTATTATTATCCGAGTTGCGCAGTGTATTAACTGGAACATTGAGATCAAAAGTGCCGACGCAGAGTGAGCGATCTGATTCTTTAGCTATAAACTGTGGCATAGGAATCAAAATGGCCGTGCCCTATGTTGGGCGTGTAGGACCTCTCTCTTGCACCGTATAGTAATCAAAGTATGTGAGCTATGCTGACCAGGAGAAAAAAAATTGTTCAGAAATACGCGCAAACGATTTTTTTGCTTTTCGGTCGTCAACCTAATTTTAATATCTAAGACGTTTGTGACACCTTTTATTTTAGCTCATCAAACTTAAATTTGTGTACTTCTTATGTACTACGTTTACTATTTGAGGCACAATGTGTACTAGGGTACAACATCCCAGTGGTTTACCCCACATACTTTGATTGATTTTCTTTTACTAATTCTAAATACGAAATATGTATAAATTATTTTAAAATTTCAAGTAAATTTTTAAAATACAAACATTTTAGGATTAAAAATATTTTACTATTTTAAAACTACAAATATTTTAAAATTACAAAATATTTTACAATGGCAAACTTTCTAAAAGGAATAAAAACAGCACATGAACTTTTGCTTATATATATGAGCCAAAATAGAAATAATGCTTTTACATCGCCAATATTATATATTTTATGTGAAAAATCTAATGTATCTTTTAAATACACAACTACACCATCATTCTTGTTTATATCTTCCTCATTATATAATAAGTTATATCCGTTCATACGAAACAAGGAAATATCAGGAATATTGAAAGTTTCTGTAAGTACTAGACAATGGTGTTCATGTGTTAGTTGACTCAGAATTATTTTTAGTTCATCTAGGTTTTTATTCAAACTACAAATATTTTGGTTGAAAATACTGAAAGATTAATTGTTTTTGGCTTCCATATGCAAACTGTCCAATTCTGCAATTAAATTGGTTTCTACAGTTTTAATTGAATTGTGATTTACGTCTCTGATGTATTGGTCCATAGAATTTAACTTATCTTTATGTGGCTTTAAATTTTATATTTACAAAATGGATTTTAAAGTTAATTTTAAAAGAGTATACTTAAACTATATTACTTAGGTATAATGTTCAAAAGTTTAAACGAATCCCTAATAACACCGATATGCTAGAAACATCCCATTTGGTTTTCATGTATGTTTCTATGTTTCTGACATAAATGGTACGTCCCTACGATGTCTCTAAAGAAACGTTTCTGGAATGATTTCTCAAGAACGTTTTAGAAACATCGTAATTATGTATAGGTATTCCATTTTCGTTTTAAATATTATTTTGATGCAACAATAAATTATAAAATTACTGCAATCGCCAGAAATCTACAATAATATCAAAATCCAATATTAAATTTGAACATTTTGAACAATATTTTTATTTCACAAGATAACTGCTACAGGTCAAATTTATCTTTATTACTTCCTTCAAAAAAGAGTGCAAAACAAATACGACAGAGATTAGTATACCCTTTCTTCTGACTCACTAGGAGAGTTCGGTTAATTCTCCGCGAGCTAAAAAATACACTATTGACAGAAGCCCTCGTGATAAGGTATATTTCTTTGCATTGAAAGTGTAGCACTGAGCTACAGTACTTATGAAAATATCGTTCCATTTAAACAAATTGTATAGATGGAACGATATTTTCGATGAAAAGGAATAGGCCTCATATTTGTTTTGCTCGCGAGTATTAACCGAACACGTCTACCGTATCCAATGACAATATTGACATATGACAGACAGTTCATTAGTATTGACAGTTAAAAATAAAAAGATGTTTCGCCTCGTTTATAATAGTTTGTAAAAGTTTAAAAGTAATGAACATCTTGTCTATAAACTTTTAAATAAACTAAAAGTGATAATAGGCGGCCGGATTGACGTGAATAGTTTGTACGTAAAGCTACATGAAAAATAATTTCCAATTCGAAGTTTACTCAGGCTTGGCAAATGCAGGAACAATCGTTTTACGTGCAAGATATTCAAGCCAAAATGAAGAAGGTAACCTAATTTCCTTTAACAAAACGTGGCTTTTATACATTCTAGTCATTATTTCTTTATTTGTTAACTTTAAAAATAACTATTTTAGGTAGCAATAATGTGTGTGAATTTATTAGAAGATGCATAGCTCCCCTCACGGAACGAGTTGTGTAAGTTATTTTCTTTCATTGGAAAAAAGAAGATGCCAAGTTAAAAATAGCTAAAGCCATTATGGGTAATTATTTTAACTTAATATCAATTGTTTATATTGTCATTTAATTGAAACATTTTCAG